AATAATAATATATTATTTTGTTCTATAATATTTCTATATTATTTAGGATATTATATGTATTTCAATGATGCCACATGGAACAGAATGACTTCCCTGAGCTTTTTTGATCAGAAGTCCTGCCATTTCCAAGCACCCTTTGGACACTTAAAAGGGGATCCTCCTCGTCAGAGTTCAGGTGCCCTGAAGTTGTGTGCACCCTCAGGAAAGCCCGTGGGCTCCTCATGTAGACGGTTTGGACTGTGGTTCCCCCCAGCTGAAAATAATAGGCATTGAGGATGGGTCATGGCACACACAAGATTTTTCTCCCTTACCATTTTAAGTTTCCTTAAGGATCCTCTTTTATAGGATCCTTAAAATACAGTCAATGTCTCTGCTCAAAAAACATCACAGAGACCCACACACACACCCCCTCACAGAGAGAGGGAATAGAGGAGGAACGCTATTGCCACAGAGGGTTTCCATTAGTGAAATTAATTCCTCTCTCATAAGAATTTAGGTCTATGATTTATGATAACCACCAGTTTCTTACTGCAGGCAAAGTGAGAGGAAATGACTCAGCCTGGACAGACATCATGAATCTAATTTTTTTTTCCCCCTAATGCTTGACATAATCTAGTGTGCAGCTCCCAGAGGTGTCATCGGAGATTCATATCCAGCCGAAGGGCCTCACAATCGAGGCAGAAAATGTTGTTACTCTCATGTATCGTGTGATCTGTAATTGTTTGGAATTGCATCGTGCCTCGTTCATTGCCATTGCTTTCGCATCAATTTTGCAGCAAAAGAGAAAGGAAACCAAAGCAAGGGGGAGAAAAGCAGTGTTGCACTTGCTCCTTCGGAAAAATCTTTCATGACATAATATTAGGGTCCAGCTGAGGCTTATTAAACTCAGGCAGTTTTGAGATGAAAAATGCTCCTTTCTGTCACTCTTCCCAATGGAAATCTCACTACCCACCTGATTGGAGAGGTCTTATCTCTCACATATTGATTCTGGAACTTTATGTTTTATTTTCTAGCACCAATATGGAATTTTTGTGAGTGGGTTTCTGCCAAAAGATCAGAATAGGTATCATGTTAAATGGTTCAGCTAAAATGTTTTATCCTACATTTCAAGTGACTAGGAGTGTATGTTCATGTCTCGGCAGAGGAGGTAGTGTTCAGCTGAGAGGAAGGTTCGTTCTGAAGAGCCTTGCAGTTATAAATAGTCATTTGAATTCATCCTCAGAAATTGCTTCCAAAACTGAGAAGAAGAATAGATCTTTTTCTTAAATATAAAAGAATGTCTATGTATTTCTCTGGTACGACCTCATTTAACACAGAAGAAGGCAGAGGCAAAAGAAACACCAAGATAGGGCTGAGCAGGAGTTCCCAGCACTTTTTCCCTTTTTTTTAATTTCTTATTTTTCCTTTTTCTTCTTTTTTCTTTTTTTCCTTTCTTTCTTTTTTCTTTTACATTTTTCTTTTTTCTTTTTTTTCACATGAAACAAATCTAAATCCTCTTTTCACAAGGCTGTTGTGTGTGCGAATGCTTGCTGATCTATTGCAGCACACACACATAAAAATGGTCTGTTTGCCTCAAGATGATCCCTAAGGATGCCTAAGTAAATAGCTGCAATTTTCAGAAATGCTCAGCTTGCTCAGCTTCCTTTAAGTCACTTACAGTTTGTCGTGGCTGGTTTGATCCCGTTTAAAAAAAATAAATAAAAAACAACCATAGAGCATGAAGGGAGGATTAAATGATCTCTAAGGTCCCTTCCAACCTAGGCCATTCTATGATTCTATGATTCTATGATTCTGTGATTCTGTGATTCTGTGATTCTGTGATTCTGTGATTCTATGTCAGTACTGTTCTGTGCAGTCTGTATACACTTTCAGACAAAAGCCAGGACCGGTGTAATACTGGAGTTCCCTGATGTTTCAAATAGGCAAAACAATCTGAATAAGGTCAACACTATAGATCTCTTCATGATTATTCGCCAATAACCTATAATGGTAATTTTAAACTGATGTTCTATGTAGCTTGTCTCTTACACTCAGTATGAAACTTCCATTACCATCCTCACTAGACCAGTTTAAAGCTGCATTTTTATTCTCTGTTTCTGCTCCTGACTGTAATTGTTTTAATGATGCTTACTGACAGCTGATACTTTCTGGCAAGTTCTCACCAAGCTTGTGCGGTTAAAGTCAAATTGTAGTGCAGTCTGCACACACTTACTAAATTAGAATTATTTTTTTGAAGTATTCCATGGTAAATTTCTAAATTGCAGCTGCCAGTCTGGAAATTATTCAGTCTCTCTGAAGCACAATTGGAGAAATCACATCATTTGGGGTATATAAAATGTACTTTTGAATGTATCCTTAGGCAATGAACTAGCAAAGCACACAAGCACATGACTTCAATACTCTACTGAACAAAATTCAACTCTTCTCTGGAACCTTGATATTCTACTAAAACACACTCAAGGGATCAAAATAAATATGCAGTTGAGGTATCTTTTTGTACAACCTAGATCCATAAAAGCAGGGCTATACAGGATAGAAGGGGACATATCATGCTATTGAATTAATTCAGTTCTTCATTTTCTCCATAACTGAGTTACTACAACAAACTGCCACTACGTTCTTCTTTCTAATATTTGGACATATTTGTGAAAACCTCAAATGTGTAAGTCAAAGGTGCTTAGATGAGAAGTCCCATTGATGGTCTAGAAGGAATTACATATAACTTGACCTCAGGATCATGTGGTTATTGTCTGGTGGTAAGTCCTACCTCTTGCTACTCTGTATTTTCTGTTATTATAAAACAGTTTGCATTTCTCTGAAGAGAATCAATTGCTGTTTTAACATCTCCTCTCTAGTTCCTCAGGTCTGACTACAATCAGTCAAGACTGCTGCAAATCCTGTTCATCCTGCTGCTCCATCCTAAGCGATACACACTCTATTCCACCGGTTTTATCACAAAACAGAGGAATCATCAGGCAGAACTCTGGTTCTGGGTTACCTTCCCTGGTAAGTGTTTGACTTAGTAGGCTGCTTACAATTTTATAGAAAAGAGACTCTGACAAAAAGTAACTATGGCAGAAATCTCTTCCTCAGCTTTGCAGCTGGTTGTGTTTTACCTCCTTTTGTCTTCCAAAACTAGGTCATATTATAAGTAATGTTATATGATACGATGTCAGCAAGGGTTTTGAGCACTATATACAGAACTGCATGCAATGGGCAGGTATGTAATACCTCCTGAAGATGCTGGGTACATTTGCTATAAAATGTCATAACCTGGAGTGCCATGAAAGGTAACAGTAGAGATACTCTGCAAGAAGCTCTCTCTCTAATATTTGAGCCGATTCATAGAAGGAAACCAGAATGGACTGTGGTAAACTACATCTAAGCTGTGAATTCCCAGCATTTACCAGCTTCTGGAGGTGGCTCTAACTAGAGGAGACAAGCCAGAGATGTGTGCTCCATCTCTTCTCTCCCCTCAACTCCAGCACCGTGGTTTCCGGTGGCAGAAATGCTGAGAGTTCAAGCAAATGCCAAGCTGTGTTGCACTGAGGGGCTCCCCCCTATAGGCCGTCGTGGTTCTGTGTCTGTTGGGCGTGACATAAATCACACCTACTCCACACACCTCAGCCAGAGTAAGAGACTTTGTTCCTTGCTCCATCCTGGGCGTCTGATGCCCTGGAAATTGCAGAAAAGTGAAGAGCAAAATGGGCAGAAACTTCATATTCTTGACTGCAGTGGCAGGTTTTCTGTATTCAGATTTAAGGCCTGAGCTGGATTCTGGATATGTGTATGGGAGCTTGTCCAAGAATGTGTTTACACGCATATGAGTACACAGATGCATGCCAGTGCATCCTCCCTTCATTACATCATTTTGTTATTTACCAGACGCTTTTAAGACAGAAGACATTATAAACATGTATGAATATTATTTCTACTGTAATAAAGCCAGAAATAGGAGAAAATACAATGCCAGAATCTGAAAAAAACCCAACCCTTAACTGATTCTTTTATATCTTTATTTTGCTCTTTTTTTAAGCTTCCGTCTGATTCCTTCAAGTATCTCAGCTGGTGTGACATAGAGGAACATGATGTTCGAGGAAATCAGCTTCATTGTCCCCGAGTGAGAGAAGGTGAAGACCAAAAAGACGTATTCACATTTCAGTCATAATTTTATTCACTCAAACAGTATGTCCTTAAACGTTGTGAGCTTAAATCATGGAGTTTGCCAGTGTTTTGAAAAGGGGCTGGCTTTCATCCCATGTTGCACATGCTTCCGTTTTTTAATCACTAGGAAAACACCCTTTGTAGTTTTGAAAATGGGAAACAAAACCAGAACTGTAGTTTGAAAATTTTTTAGTATTTATGTGCTGTCAATTACTTCTTCTGAAAGTTAATTAACATTTAAATACTGTTCAGGATGCAATAGCCATATGCCAAACAAAAAATACCAAGAGTGAAATCCAGCCCTGCAAACAGTGGCACGTGTATTTTATTTTTAAGACCAATTGGCCCAAGTGCAATCTGTAGACACACTCAAGAATAGAGAATGAAAGGAATGAAATGTGGATTTTAAAATCCAGTGTTTGCAGTAGAAAAATTCCACACTGTCTAGCTTCAGTTAGGAATTTGAGGGTGTCCATTTTAGTAAGCCTTTAAGGCTTTAATTCTTCAGTGGGTGTCATTTTTAATATGAGTGAGGTGTTGAGTACGGCTGTTGATCCCAGTTACAGCTGGTAGCAGTGAACTGGAAGTTACAAACACATCTCTCTCTCAGGACAGTTAAAGGGTAAGTGCATAACTGTTACATAAGCTCATAGCGTGTGACACAATGTATAGAAATAGTGGTTTAGAACAAAGATGCTTGTGCTCAACCATTTTGAGAAAGCTTTTCTTCTGAGGTCTAGAAGAAATGTCACTTACTAACTGTGTACCAAATCATCACAACTGTAGATTGTTGCTGAATTATGAGCCCAGAAATGGTAGAAAAATCTTCACCTTTGTTTACTTCTTAGAAACCTGGAAACTACACGCCTATAATATTATATATATTTCTTCTTTTCAGATATCTTCCCAGCCATATATATATAATCTTTCAGCAAGTGACTAAGTGGCAGTTTCATATCACATCCACTATTATAAATCTTTTCTTTCCTGGCAGGGCCTTCAAAAGAGGAGCTGTTTTTCAGAGGAGAAGAGGAGACTTTGAAAAAAAGAAAACAAGTAACTGATGCAGAGAAGTGGCAAAAGAAACTGCAAGAGAACTGGGAAAACTGTGCTGTAAAACTTTCTCATTAACTCTTTGTCCTGTAGTAGTAAATAAGCCAAATAATAACGTACCAGCTGCTGCTTGCAGTTAGCAGCTTTAAAGCTCACCATGACATTGTAAACCAGCAGGTTTTTACAAGCTGGAAGAAACCCTGGAACATACTGCAATTTGGATTCTGCCCCCGTGCAAAGAGCAAACTCCTGTGTTGTCACAGGGCTTTGTTTGTGCTTGCACATACAAGAACCACTGACATCCTTTGCCTGCTTAGTGCCTGGTGGTAAACGAATGGTTAGAGAATGGAGTAGTTTAATTTCAGCTCTTTCACTCTCTCCTCACGGCAGCCTGAGCAGTTCTTTTGGCTGGAGGTACTGCATTACTTGCTGGTTCTGATCAGTGATAAGTTATAACCTCTCTAAAATTAGGGAGGAGCTTCCTCCAACACTGAGATCCAGTATTCTGGATCGTGCGTCTTCTGCACATGAGCGCTGGGGGATGCTGATCTCTGGCTACTGAACAGCACTTAATTTTCCAGATGAATCTAGACGCCAAACAAATAAACTACAATCACTTAGTCCTGCTTTCTTCACCCAGAGCAGACACAGAGGCTTGCCCACGCAAAGAGGGAGGAGATGCTGGGCAGTAAGATCCACAGGCTGCTTCACTTTCCAGGAGTTACGCAGTTCCTCACTGCGATTCTGAGGTGAATGGGGCAACTGGCACCACTAATTGCTATAAGAGCATCGTAATAAAACAGCATCACCTTTTAACCTTTTAAAAAGATCTAATGAAACAGTTCTTAGAAAGGAAGAAACAAATTTAAGTGATTTCTTTTTGTGTTTTTTTTTTTTCCCAGGAGTTGAACCTTTCATTTCAGGACCTTGGTGATCTTTACCAGGTGGAAAACTTCAAAAGAATTCTCCAAAGATTAATTCGCGTGGAAAAACTCTGGCTGGTGGACAATTCTTTGACAGACCTAAGTGCCATAAGGCTGCCAAGGTAAACAAAATGTCCTGTTTCCATTATGTGATATCATAAAAATCAAAACTATTATTTACCTATGTAGTAGCTGGAGCAGACTCTTGAGAACTGCAAAATCTAATATTTTAGGTGTTATTAGACTAAATATCCACCAGTATATTGCTACTCTAAGTTTATTCCCAAGTTGAAAATACTCAGTAAGGAAGTAAGGTGATGTCTCCTTTCTTCCCGGTGGGTCATTCATAAGTCTCACCAAGTTCAGTGATATTTTTGCTAAAAGGGAAAGTTGTTGAGACCTGAAGGAATGTATTTGAAGAAATGGAGGAACTTAACTCAAGCCGAGAAGCCAAGTGTGACGGTGACAACTATACCTTCACAATCCATCTATTGCTACTGTGCTATCATATGTCTACATATATGGAAAGTCATAGTACTGAGAACAGGAATAATGATTTGTCTGTTGTACAATATAAAGAAAACTGAGAGTATAGAGTGCAGGATCTGATCTTGGAGTCCATGGGTAGGCAAAAACAGCACAAATGCAAAACTAGTGTGAAGGCAGGTCTCGAGGAATCAAATTCTTGTATCTGTCATTGGAAACCCTAAGTTGCTGTGACTTCGACTATGTGAAGAGCCGTCCCTGTGTTGGCTTACAGGTATATCCCACTACAGATGTGATCAGTGATGTCATACGCTTTGTACTTTGCAGATGCAGAGAGCTAAATGTCAATAAAAACCACTTTACATCCTTCAGACAGCTGCCAAAGATCCCTCAGATTCAGCACTTATCACTCGCTGAAAATAACATTACGACACTAAGTGGAATATCAGACTTCAGACATACTCCACTCGAGTCCCTTATACTCAAGAGGAATCCCTGTGAGTTTCAAGAAAGATACAGACAACGGTAAGTCTTATCGTCTCATGGCCAACAAAAGTTGATCACCAATAAATGTTTGTGAGAGAGTTCAAAAGGAATAGCATCTCAAATACAACAATGGCCCAAGCAATCTTTTTAGTTTAGTCTCAACTGTCATAAATGCTCCAGGAACTTGGGCTGGTGAGCCAGTGCCTGTTAATAGCCACAAAATATTCAGAATCTCTCTAGGAGGCTTTCTAATTACATGACTGGCAGTTCTTGAACTGAACTAAGTCCCTGGATCAAATTTAGAGACAGTGAGTAGAGCAGATAAATTAGATTCCTTTTTATTAATAGAAACTACCTATTACTCAATCTCTCTTCAGTCTCACTGCATCCCTCGTGTATTCTGAAGGAGGCCTAAATTGCATTACATGTCAGAGACGGAATCAGAGGGATGTGTTGAAAGATGGGAGCCACAGTGAGAGAAAACTAAGTTACCTTAATTCGATTTTTCTGGATTGTCTCTTCTCTCTGTGGCAGCACTGGGGAAGTTGCACTGCCTCGAGCAGTGCAGGTATATCTTGCAGGCAGAGCAGTGTCGTGTAGATTTAACAGAGCTGCCTTGGACACTGGAAATGAAAATCCAAATAGTAGATCGAGTAGAGAGTTCAGGGGAAGGTAATTTATTCTGTATCTCTTGCATATTTTGGTACTCGCACCCCGATCCCACTCTTCCTCAGTTACTTGGACTCCAGAACGCTGTTGCCAGGAAAAATATTGCACATGGATCGGAAAGAGGAGCAAAGCGTGTTCCTTCTGAACTCTTCAGAAATCCGCGTGGTTCGCTGTTTTTCCACATTACAGAGTCCTGTCAGCCAGCTATAGAAGGCATTGTTGATATTATTTAGATAGGCCTTACAGCATGTGTAAAAGAAGTCATTTCTTCCTGGGAGGTGGGGAAAAAAAGGAGATATTTAAAAGAAAGTGTTTAATGAAAACCTTCCTGAGTTTCCAGTACAGTTTTCCTTTCAGTCTAGTAGGCATCCCTTTGCCAGTGTGATCGTGATGCTTGTGCTTTCTAAAGTTAAATAGGCAGATACCAAGGTGAAAGTTAAAAAGTAAATTTAAAATGATGGCTTTCACTGCCAGCGTTGGAGGATAGAATGAATGATTTTCAAGCACAGATAAAGCCTTGAGTTACGTGCTGAGGCTGAGCGCTGGAGTCCATGCTCACCTCTAAAGGCACAGGAAAAAATACCGTAGCTCATGGGTTAACCCCCTGAGCCGTGCTTGTGGAGGGGCTGTGGCTCCATCCAACTCTTCGGAAGAAGAAACCAGCAGCCTGAAAGCGACTGCTTAAAAGGGACCTTGCGTTAGGAGACAGAGAAATTCATTTCGCTTTGGCATCACGGCCACACACCTGGGACTCCTTTTCTCTGGGAGAAACAGGAGCACAAAAAGCTTTGCAGGGAGCCCGGTTTCTTTACCACGGAAGGATAAAAGTTGAGTTGCACTTCTCGTGATAGAAATCTTCGCTTTTCAGCAGTCTAGGAAATTCAGTCTAAGCTAACAGTGGCCTCTCTTCTGCAGTAGACAATTGGTTTGATTCTACTCCATTAAAAATGCGGATACTTGTAGCAGTTTACTGAATCTAGGATATAAAACTTGTGCGACAGAGTGAAAACTGAATTTTTTTAATTAGCTTTTGATCAGATGAATTCGGCAACAAATAACAAATCAAGACTTCCAACAACACAAAATCTGTTTTGGATATGTTTGAATCCGCTCTTTGGTTTTTATGAGTGTCTGTTTTGCTCTTAACATTTCACAAGATTATTTATCTTGATTTTCTATTTCTCTTTTGTCTTTCTTTAAGAGTATTCTCCAGTTTGCCAAATCTGAAAATGCTGGATGGTATCCCAAAACTGCCAGAGGACTGTTCACCCCCAGATATCAGGAGGTTTTTTAAAATGTGTACTATACTCTAGCACTGTTATTTTTCGGGGATCACACCTGTGCTAGAATCACTTTGCTTCAATGATATAATTAATCCTATATGTGGAAGTTGCTGGGTTTTTGTGACCAACAAGATACTGAAGCACAGATATAATTCTTCTGAATGTGTTTGTGATACCACAAGCTTCAAGTAAGTATGGATAAATGACATGTAAATAAGACATAATGTGTATACTGAGTGTCATGAGTTTGTTATATTAAAAATATTGGGTGAATTTCTTGTCTAGGAACTCTGTGTAGACAAGACTCACAATTACTGATTCCCACTGCATTTATCTAAAAGGTGTCCAAATTCAGACCACATGTCCATTGTGGGAAATGGTGCAGGAGTTAACATCCAGGCTGCAAAGGAGAGAAAAAAAAAAAGAATGAATTAAGGAACAGGCTGTGCAGTTTCCTTCTTTATGTCCCACCAATGCACTGATATTCCTTAATGCACTTTGTAGATGGGCAAGACAGAGCCACCCCAATCATTTTGACCCTTCAAAACTAAAAAATAGTGAAAAATTACCTTGCTTGGGAATTTGGTGTGGGTAAGAGTACTGGGGAGGTAAATCATGACAGAGGAAAGAAGTATTTTGACTTGTTGCTGGCGTTGTTTAGGAGCGTGTTGTTGCTTAATGGAAGTTCCTCAACCCAACGCCACAATGATGAGGGAAAAGAGCTGTGGAAGCTTAAAAAGGAATTTGTAAGGGCTCCCCAGGATATCTGAATGCAATTATCTTTGAGAAGTATCTGTCCTTGTCTTTGATTCATTTGCTGTTCAGTTTTAGCCTTTTTTTTTTCCAGCTCATGCCGGCACACAAATAGCTGTGCCACTAATGGCTTAGGAAAAGAATGACAGAGTCTTGGGAAATGAAGACAATTAACAGAATTGCCTAATTCCAGAGACAGTCAATAAATCCTCTGCTGTGTATTGGCTGCAGGCTCGGTCTGGTTCAGTTACACAGGGACAGTAATGACTGCTCAGCCCTGTAGAGCTCTGCAGTGCGATGACTTGTCAGCAGAAAGGTGACAGCAGCTCTCTCTAATGTCTGGATTGGATCAGGGCGAGAGAAATGACCAGCCTGAAAAGTTTCCAGGCTCTCCCTGAAGACTGTCCTTCCCCCTCTCACAGCCTAGCAGTCGAAGCAGTTGATCCAAATATTGCATGAACTAGATCATGAGATTTTGAACGTGCAACAGTGTCTAGGTCAAAAGTATTTTGTACAGCTGTGAAAGGAAAAAGCCAATGGACCGCTGCAAAGAGGTGTCAGGTTGGGTACTCACACTCAGGAAATATTCTTGCAATTCACAAAAGCATTCCGATTCCTTGATTCCTTCCCAGCATTTACGTGCTCACAGGGTTTAATAACTCGAGCCAGTCAGTGTACTTCACCCCAGCAATGGGAACAGATCAGGCTACGGCAAACCCGTCCATAATCATGCTACAAAATCAAGAGAATACAGTTCAGTAATACGTGACGACAAGCATTTACAGATACAGAGGAGAGACGCTGTGGTTTACGCAGAAACAACACGGCAACCTGACCTTTGAAGCAGGAAAAGCAGAACACTGTGTGTTGTACAGCATAGCAAATTGGTCCAGAAGAACGGGAATCTTTCCCATGATCAGGATAAGACCAGAAAAACTGAAAGCTTCCTGAGGAGTGAGGGTAGTATTCCACCTGAGATCTAGATTAATCCAGATATAGTGCAATACGATAATCAGCATTAAAAAAAAATTAAAAATCACTGTTGTGTTTGTGAATGGAAAGGGAAAAATGAAAGGATGAAATACGTTCTTCCAACTGAGGATGTACGTAGGAAAACACCATCTCCTTGGAAGCAAGGCAGGGAGCTAAAGCGAAGAGCAAACAAAGCCTGAAGGACCCAGCTGGAGACAGACCGCGGCGAGCAGCTGAGCGCCGACTGTGCCGAGGCTGCGCGTCTGGCAATGGGATAGGGAAGCCGTCTTTTCCCAAGGTAACAGGCGCTGGGGAGCGTTCAAATCAGTGCTGTTAGAATAACAACAAAAAGCAGGGCTTGGCTCTCCTCCCAGAATTCAGCGTTAGAAAGTGAGACTGAGAGGGGAAATTGCTCCCGTCCCGTGGGTCGAGGTTTTGGTTAGAAGCTCCTAGTGAAGCTACCACCCACTCGCACGGGTAGTTAGGAGCTGGTCGATTCTCTCCTGGGAACACACTTTGCTCTTTAGACCCGAGTCCTGGGTCAGTCACAAGAAAAAGGCACAGACAGTGATATATTCTTTCCGGACGGGAAGTCGGTTCTACTCTCGTAATTTTTCCTTTCATTATTTTAATGGTCTGGCTTTGGAATCCCAGAGAAATCCGAGGTAATATCTGGGGAGCCTTGCTGATTTTATTTAAAGTGCATCCAAGGCACAAGAATGTACTGGTGGTGTTTGAGTCACTTTGCTGCAATGAGATTTAAATGAGATGTTCGCTATTAGCGATGTCACATGGGAAACTGGGGAAAAAAGAGCAATTAGGTTCCAGCTGGTTGACTGGACAGCAGCCATAAGACTGGGGGAGCACACTGGATACGTTTCAGCATTACTGGTCAACTAGAAACCCCAGCAGCAGGAACCTTTTGATACCGACCTCAAGTTCATGCCAAACTGGGAAAAAATTAGTATACATTTTGGGTTCTAAATTAGATTATTACTATCTAACTTTGCTTTCCTGCCAAATTTACGCTCAGCTTCACTCAAGAAAAAAATGGGCCTGCGGCAAATTACTCTTCGAGGTTTACCGCCCTGCTTTTCCACAGTTATGTTATGGAGTGGTTGAATCTAAAGCTAATCTATGATTTCAGGAAAACATGGAAGAAATGGAGCAATGGTAGAGCCTTTATTTTGCTGGAGCTTTTGAGGTTTCATCTCATGTGGTTGTACTCTGAAATCTAAAATTATAGCTACTACCTGTGAGCTCAGTATCAAAGTGTTGTGAAATTGATTTCCAATAATTCACAAAGATTCCTTCAAACCTGACATTTCATGAAAATTTAGCAAAGTGTTCCTAAAGTCTTGCCTGACATCATGGGACACATCCAGGGCTGACAAAGCTCGGAACCAAGTTCCTGGGTCTCATTTTAACTGTCTCTTCGTTTCTCCTTATGTCTGAATCTCTCGATACAAAATCAAAAGCAAGCAGTATCAAATGAAAAGGCAGATTCCTTAAACGAACAGAGAGAAAACAAGACTTCATTTAATCCATTTATTATGATCCCAGGAATTCCAGAGCAGGGTGAAAACCAGGTGAAAATATTACAGTACATGGATCATGGAAGCAAATCAAGTTGTATCAGAAAAGAAGCGTCGACTCCAGATAAGCATTTCAAAGACCCTTTGCTCATATACACATTAACTGTGTAGAACATGAAGCTTAAACACGCCGTGTTCGTATCAGTCCACGGTGTTTAAATCACTCGGGAAATAAAGATTTTGAGCCTTCTCCAGGACGGTGCATTGCAGCACCAGAGTTAGACGTGAATACAGGGAAGAGGAAAGCACCAGCTCACCTGTCTGCCTGGCAGAAATGTCTTCATTTAGCTCCTTACCCTGGACTTCAGAGGCTGAGAGAGGACATCAGAGGCAAATCAAAGCTGATCAGTTAAGCCCGTAATTCGTCCTTACAGATGTTAACGCAAATGGCTTAAGCCCAAATTTATACACCTGTACGGAGTAAATAACTTGTCGGCGATTCCCTAGAGTTTAGCCTGACCGTCCTGGAGTGCAGAACGGTTGTGAGGACACCACGAGTGACTTCCTGAGGTCCTTGTCAACTGTCACTGTGTCTCCAAGGGATTTGGTGAGTGTTTTGAAATGCGCTGTGTGAAGGGATCTGGGTGACGTGGTGGGTCATGACGTTTGCTGTGTCACCTTAACTCATGACAGAGCGGGCACGGAGGGCTGTGCTCGGACACTCTGCTGGCGTCTCCCTGCCCGGGTGAGGCTGAAGGCCGTCTAGCTCTTCCTGCGTGTTCCAGCTTGCGTGTTCCTGGGGCCTGAAAGGACATTACTTTTCTTTTGTCTGCCCTGGCTTCTCTTCATGGTGTTTGTGTATTAGTGATGCCATGACAGTGATGCTTTCCATGCTTGCTTGTTCCCTCATCAACCACAGGTGACTACCGAAGTCCTTCCCACATGTAATGCAACAGCAAAACTTCCAGTGACTTAAAAGCTGCAGAAGCATGGCTTTATTCTTCTGCGTGCAAGAAAAAAAGGAAACTACTTGGAAATCAGGGATTGGGTTACCAAAAAGGGCGCTGTGAGGCAGTTAACCTCTGAGAAGCAGAACACTCTTGCCTCTCCCTGGAGAACGTCTTTTTGAAGATCAGTGTATATTCTTTTGGTTTGCCATTTCCTTCCTGACTGATTAAAATCAAGTACCTTCTGGTCTATGTAAGGCAGCTTTCTATTGCTGCCACTTAAGTCTTGCTGTTCAGTAAAGAACTTTCAGCATTTTTGATTATTTCCTTCCTATCAGACTAACAGGAAAAATTAATTTAGTAAATACACTGACTGATGTTTTGATCTATTTGGATACATGCAGGAGATGCGCAGAGGCACGCTGGCAGGAAGTATAGGAGGAAATAAGATATTAAGATGTCCTAGAGCATTCATTTTTCATTTGTAATCAATCGTCCAAGATACATTTGCTTTGGAATTGCCAGGTACCATGCTACATTATGTAATTGAAAACACTGAAGATAAGGAAAGAACGCCATTGACAACATATGCTTTGGATAAAAGCAGCTATAAAAATAAATGTAATGACTGTAACAGGGACGAGACAAGCATGGACAGTAACAAATTGGGAATGACCACAAAGTTGATGAATAGTCAAGCTACAGGAAATGGGGCAGCCAGCCTTGGGGAGTGAAATCCAAGCCTATTTTTTTTCTTTTTCATATGGATCATTTTATTTTTACTATGTGTTGACATATTTCCCATTCCTACACCATGTACAGTCTATTTTCTTTCTAACAGATTGCTATAATTACCCTTTATGACCTGAGCACTGA